TTACAAAATTTTATATGTAAGGGTCCCCTGTACATCCAGATTTTTTTTTTGGATAAGTTCTGAATCACCCTGTATAGTGTTGTTGACCTAATTAATGTTAAAAACTGGTTTGATTGTAGTTTATTAAGTATTCGTGTTCATTTTCGGGTACAACTAATAACAGCCTCATCTTACTAAACTCAATTCATTCTTCAGTTTGCAAAAACAAAAACAAAGAGAAACACTTATGGTTGATTGTCATCTGAGATGGTCAGAGAATGTATCTGTCTCCTCAAATAGACTTAGAAAGTTAATACACAGGTTCTATGAAATTCGAGATATTTTGAATACATTTTTGTACGGTAATACTGCTGCTATAAAAGAATGGCGATACTTCTGAATCTACGCCTCTGAATAATTTTTTTTACTGTGACTGTGGCTTTTTCATATGAATTTCTAATAGGAAGTAACTAACATATTAATGCTAGATACCCTGTATATTTCTGAGAAGTGTAACATACACAAAATTTCTTAACCGTGCTAAAAAATGGGTGGGAAAATGCAACAAAACACTAATTGAGCTGCGCAAAAGTAACGTTCCAAGTCAGCCGTGTTAAAGTGCTGCTATACGTGCAGATAGTAATTTGACGTTGGTTAACAAGTTGAAATTTAGATAATAAAGTTTGGCAGTTAGTTGCAAAGTAATAATAGTTTTCTCTGAAGTTTCCGAATCTCAAAACTGCACATTGTGTAAGTAGATTGACACTAATTGTGCAAGTGCACTCGCAATAAGTCCAAAGGTCGTTTTCTTATTCACTACAAACTATCTGGTAAGTTCAAAAAGCGACGACCAAGTTTAAGAATGTGTTGGTTCTTATCATATACAGGGTGGCTTTTTAAGTCCATGTCATGTGGCTCACTCCTAACCAACAGGAGAAAATTTCAAAACATGTGCGCTGTTGTGCATTGTGGAAATTCTAGCAACTGTATGTTGTGGACATCCTGTATAACAAAAATAAATAAATTTCTAATTAAATGAAAAGAAAATTGAGGAAAAGCATCTCGACTTAATCTCAAATTAAATTTAATTATTAGAACGTGTTTCGTTTCATATTTTATTCAACATTGAATAATTTTTTTAATAAAGAACTGTAATTTCTAAACATTTAAGGCAAAATGTAGCTCGCGACGTCGGTTAGTAAACATTTTTAATATTGCCACTCTGAAGGAAGTTATATGACTTTAAATGTTGGACATAAATCTTTGGTATACAGTTTTCAGAGTTTCTTTCCTCGAAATGAATACTACAGTGTAAAAATCTCATACCGACCATTCACTAAAGGAAACTTCATTTTGAAGCTGAAGCTGAGTCTGTGCAAGTACCGCAAAAAATAAATCTACAGGATGTCGCTACTTCAAACTTTTTAAAAGATTTAGCTCGGAATTAATTTTTATATTTGTATTTGATTCGAAAGTATAGTGAAACATGTTTTTCTCTCGTTACTTTTCAGAAAAACGCCCTGTGACAGACAAAAATAATTCAAAAAGCAATTTACGGTTATTAAAACGAATCGTTATTATTATCGCGATCATCTTTCGCAAAATAGGCTGGAGGAAATCAATTCTACTCAACCTACAGTAATGACAATACTAACTCACTGTCTTATCACTTCCCTTAACAGCCGCAATAGAGTCTTTGCCTTAGGCGCCGTTCATAATTTATCTTCTTATACTAACGCGTACTGTATTCAAATAGGAATAATAGTCCGGAAATCATCATTCATATTTTACAAATACACCCGATAGAGGCTTCTTTGATTTTATTGTGCTGTGTCCGATTGTATTGAAAATTATTTTCCTTGACTCATGACCTGGCAAACTCGCAATTCTTTAATGAATATACATAAATAAGTAAATCTCTGTAAATATTGCTCAAACATAGAAGCACATATTGTCAACGATAATCTTGAGCCCATTTATTTAAATACATCTGAATAATTAATTGTTTAAAGGTTTGCAAGGTGTGAAATATATACACAGAAAAGAACCTTTCGGTGGAATAGAAATTGTGGCGAAGTGCTGAGCAAAGACACTGTAAAATAAATCACGTAATTTATGAGGGAAATAGTATAGTCACGGAAGGATAAACTGATTTTGGAACTCTCTACATATATTTGGAGACCTTTCACAAATTGATACGGGACGCAATAGATGCCGAACTATTTATTTTGCATATTTTCCGTATTTCCGTAATGAGAAATCTAAATTTGTCACGTTATGAAGTGCCCCAACTTTAAACTGAAACTAAAGGTATATTTCTATCAGCGACTTTTCTTTGCCTCAAAAATGGTGTATTTCAGCGCTTTGGAGTTGAAAATAACTTTTAAATATTTTTTTTTGTGCATACAAATTTAATTGCCTTTTTGTCGAAAAGAGATATTAGTAAGGTATACCTTTTTCAAGCAGAAAAGTTGGGGGGAAAGATTTTTCCAGCTCAAAGTGAAATACACGGTGGCACAAAAAAGTTTTGGCAGTTTAAATGCGTCGTAATGTTCGCTCGTGGCGCCCACTAGATGATACAACGAAATCGTCGATAAATTCGAATTTCCCATCCCAAAAAACCGTCGGATATAAAATTTCACGAAATTAGCTCAAAATAGTCGAAAGATATTAAAGAAAATATTATTTGTTTTTTCGACTTTGACACTGCAACACTGTTATTATCAATTTTTGGACTAATGTAAGTCAAGTTTCTCTAAAAATCGGAATCTTATATGCATTTGTATTGGGTATTCATTTATTTTTAGTAAATGTAACAAATTTGCACAAAAATGATTAACACACGTGGGTAATGGATATAAATACCCAAAGTATTGAAGTCTAGCAATAAAATTTAATGAGTTTCATAGGCGTCCCTAAAAAAGTGTTCTGCTAAAGGTAAAAATAATAATAATTTGTATACAGCGTGTTGAAAATTTCTATTATATGTTCATTTGGCCAAAAACATATTTAATTATTTATGTCCTCCAACAATTTTATTATCTTGATAGTAAATTTTGGTTGTGACATATCAAGAAACATTTACATTTTCACTAAAATATATTACTGCACTGCTAGGCAGTTTGTCAACAACTGAAATTTATGGCCGGTCGCCCAGTGCAGCTGTGTTTGTACGCCGTTTGCCCGCGCGCGCGTTTCTTCAACTGGGCGTATACATTTCTACCACCTCCACGTTTAGATCGGCCAGACCTGTATATGGGTATGGCTAAATGAATATGGGAACAAGTTTTTTTTTTAATTTCTCAATACCGAGTTGCTGCGTAGCGACCAAACCTGGTACATACTGCCTAGCTCTTTGGTCTTCAATTTTTAAGATTGGAAAGACTATAACATTTGATTGTACCGGTATTTATTCTTTATATTTACCATTTTATATCTTTTGAACGAGATGAGGGGTCGAAAAATTTTTTAATAAAAGTTGAGAGATGAGAATTTTCGTATGACGTAGAAAAATTGTGAGGAAAAGAGGTAAACTTACCAAGGTGGAACTAAAAAATATTTCTATCGTCATGCCATAAAGATCTCCGCTTGCGGTTTACTGTTTGCTCTATTCGTTTTCGTGCAATGGCGGTCAACCTTCAATTTTGGTTACCCTGTACAGCTGTGGACAATAAAAAGTTACTTCATTGCACCATTCTGTAAATTCCATTAAACGTTTTAGTTCGGAATCCTTTTCTGTCGATAACTGTTTACAAACTTAGTGTAATAATTGCAGTTTTGCACTAGTGTAATATTGTCACATTAATCTTATACTGGGTTAGTCGAAAGTATGGAAACCCCGAAAAATCTCAGCATTTTTGGGGTAAATGGTGAGGACTAAGGTCTCAGCATTTTTCACGGCTCATCCGATTGTAACGTTGACCTTGAGTTCAAGGTCATATCAATATCAAGTTGGTTTTTAGAAAGGGCGACCCTCCTTTTCGACCCCAGAAATGGAAAGAACAGAAAATTCTGCATCCCAATTTATAACATTGACCGTGACCTCAAGGTCAATGATCAAGGTCAAATTTTGATTTTTACTTAAATTTTTATTTCTAACTACGGAATCAGGGTCTTTGAGTAGATTCCTGATGGTACTCCTTAGTGACCTTGATCTTGAGGTCACTAAAAAATTAAGAGCCTTCAATTTCATCGTCGAAAATAAAAAATGACATCCGGAATTATCACTTGACCTCTACCTGACCTTGACTATTGACCTTAAGGTCACCTTTAAGATCATAATAACATGTTGAGTTCTACGCTCTCGTATTTCTAGTGTCGAAATAAGAGGTCGCTACTCCAAAAACCGATATGACCTTGACATGTTCTTTCGACCTTGACATCAAGATCAAGGTCACTAAGAAGTACCATCAGGTATCTACTCAAAGACTGTCGCTCCGTCTGATTTCGTAGTTAAAAATAAAAAATTACAGTAAAAATCAACATTTGACCTTGAACTGACCTTGACCATTGACCTTGAGGTCACGGTCAATGTCATATTCGGATGCAGAATTTTCTGCTCTTTTCATTTCCGAGATCGAAAAGGAGGGTCGCTATTTAAAAAACTGACATGACCTCAAGACCATGACCTTGAGCGTTGACCTTGAACTCAAAGGCAAGGATCATCCTGTTTTAGGATACAGCTTAATTTTTAAGAAAATAACGAATTCATTAACACAACAGTCGAAGAAAGAGCGTTCGATAAAAGTCCAATACGTTCGGGAATTTATTACGTATTTTCCCAAGTGCGTCTTAATCACTTTCGATGAAATAAATAAAATGCTCAAGGAAAATCCCCCCGAGAGAATATTAAATCAAAAAGGAAGAGAAATTATAGTAGTAGCCCACTAGGCCGTTCAATCAAGTTAAAGTACGTGTGCCCCTCGGTTCCGCGGTAACACAAAAGTTTCGAATTGAAAATATAAGAATGGAATCCGCCGATAATTTAAAGCATAAAGGGTTTATTGTGATTTCTTTTGCAGTTCCACCGAACATCATCGATACAGAGAGCACGCAATCCACTGTTGCAGTGCGGGAGAACCAGAATATCAGCTTGACGTGTAAGGCGGATGGATTTCCCACGCCTAAGATTATGTGGAGGCGAGAAGATGGCCAAGCAATATCCGTTGAACGCCGCAAGAAAGGTAAATGCCAGCCAGAGTTAAATTTTTCAATTATGTGTGTATTCGGAATTTTGATTTTAATTCCGCAAGGGTGCGAAGTGGAAGGGAAATTTGGTTTTTATTTCATTCCTTTGGAAACATCGATTCTTGGCCCGATACGCTTACAAAATCATTTTTAAAAGTGTACATTTTCTGTTATTAACTTTTTCCACCCCAAACGGGAAACTCAAATCCGAGGTTAGTTTGCCTGCATCAGGTCACTTAAGGGTTATTTCAAGGTCATCTAAGGGTCAAACCAAGAAAAAAAAAACGAGAAATTGTTTACCGTTTTGAAGTCTCTGTGTTTGAATCCAAGGTCCGTTTATATGGATCAAATCAGGTTTAAGGTCATTCCAAGGTTGATTTGAGAAAAAAGACGGTACGATTAGTGAGGGGCTATTTTGGACCTCCCTGTATTTCACCGAATCTTGTTGGAAACTGAAGACTGAACTGACCATATTAACCTATATAAACTTTAGAAAAACTCGTATTTCCTCATATTACCTCGAATCCACCCATATTCCTCCATAAAACGGTGTATTCTCTCATACTAACCCACTCTACCCTATAGCCATTTTACCATATACACGCATATTACTCCGTATAACAAGAACCCTTACCTTCCTCCTTATTACCTCATACTAGCCAATATTGCCCGATATCAATCCAGCTTCGGTCGGAAACAAGAGTGGTCTGAAATCGTCTCTCACTGTCCCTACCATAAGTCCTTTTTCTCAAATCAACCTTGAAATAACCTTGAACCTTTATTTATTTATTAAATGACCTTAAAATGACCTGACACAGACAAACTGACCTCAGGTTTGAAGTCAGCAATACCAAATACGTGTATAACAGGTGGTTAATAACTTAATTGCTTAGTTTTTCTCAACTTGACCCTGAAATGACCTTGAGACGACCTTCAAATAACGTGATACAGGCAAACTGACCCCGGATTCAAACTCAACGGCCCCAAAATCCTGTATAACATGTAGTCGGACTTGATTGCTCGGCTTTTTCTCGATTTGACCTTGAGATGTCCTTGAAACAACCTTAAAATGGCCTGATACAGACGAACTACCTCCGATTCAGATTCAGCTACCCAAAAAACGTAAACTCCGAGATCCTTTTATTGAATGCACTTTTTCTCAATCTGACCTCTAATTGACCTTGATCCTGACTAGGAAGGAGGGGGGAGGTCCCGTTTGGGGTGGAATCGATTAGTTATTGGATATCAATAATAAAAAATGTTTCCTTTTTTCGGCTCTAAACTTACGACTTTGAAATTTTGCATGCTTGTTCCGTTCTGATGACAATACACTAAAATGATAGAAATAACCTGATGCTGCAGTCAGGATTGTCTACTCATGAGGGCACTCCTCAATGATAGCAGAGGCGTTACTTGAAATTAATAGATTGAAAAATATTTCTAACTATAAAGGTGTAAATAAAATAATGAAGAGAAAAAAAAAACAATTTCAAATAAATATGGGGAAAAGTTTTCAAGATATTTCAATGCCGAGTTGCTGCGTCAGCTACATCTGGTGCATACTGCCAACCTCTCGGTTCTTCATTTGAGATCGGAAAGACAAAAAACTTAAAAAACAAACACTACGGACCCTTAAAGTAAAATTTAATCTCTACGAAGAATACTTTTTGTGTACTTAGTTGAATCACCCTGTACACCAGTAGTGCGATCATATTTTGCTTAAGTTTACATTAGTCGCAGCACTTAATAAAGTTTGTACGGTTACATTCCGCAAAGTCTTCTCTAAATGAAATTTTTAATAACGTAAAAGCAAAAAAAAATTGTATACCAATTGTATACTCATTGTCTTCAAAGATATTATAACATACTATATCTCTAAAACAAAATGGTATTTGGCTGTAGAAGTTAGAACATAAATAAATAAATAAAACATTGTTTTATTAATAATGTATGTTTCATCATAAAAACAGAATGAAAACATTAGTAATTTACCCAAATATTTTTTTGCAAAAATAGTACGTATTAAAACGGCTCAGGAATATTTGTATGTCACCTTGAGTCAATCAAATTCATAGATTCGCCGCATCTATTGTATTAATTTATTGTATATATCTCGCAAATTCCCGTTATAATATATCTAAAGAAAGAAAAACATAAATATTCAAAATTGGAAACAATAAGTAACATGTCTTTATTTCAAAATAAATTTGCTGTAGCTGATTATTAATTAAGGACAACGTATCTTATAACAGCAATCTAATGCGCACGTATTATATGCCAGCATTATACAGGGTGGTTCATATGCTGGGTAACAACAAGTGCTGGTAGGTACTGTGGTAACGAAGCACTTTTTAATTCCGAGTTTTGGCAATTTTTTTCTCGTTTGAAATCATCTTTTATACTCTAAAACATTGCGTATTACAGAAAAAACTATTTCTCTGCGGGATATTACAGTCGATAACACAGCCACACAAAAAAAAATCAAATGCGCTGAACACGATCCTATGGTTAAAATTTATGAATTTCCGAGAAAAGTGAAATTTTTGGGTGAAGACGCCCAAATATGGGTCAAAACATAATTCTTTCCTAAATTGTCTCCAAATATATCATTTTCGTAGTATTTTAAGGCGATGAATAGGATGTCATTAGTAAAATTTACCATGATCTCGGTACTTTTTTTCCTAAATTTTTCCTAAATTTTCTTAAATTTTGTCCAAATGTCCTAAATTTTGTCCAAATATATAATTTTCGTAGTATTTTGAGGCGATGAATAGGTTGCCATTAGTAAAATTTACCATGATCTCGGTACTTCTTTTTCTAAATTTTTCCTAAATTTTCCTAAATTTTGTCCAAATGTCCTAAATTTTATCCAAATATATCATTTTCGTATTATTTTTAGGCGCTGAACACGATGCTGTTAATAAAATGTACCCTCGATATTTCTCAGAATATCCAATATTTGAGTGATTTTTCCTAAATTTTCCTAAATTTTGTCCAAATGTCCTAAATTTTATCCAAATATATCATTTTCGTATTATTTTTAGGCGCTGAACACGATGCTGTTAATAAAATGTACCCTCGATATTTCTCAGAATATCCAATATTTGAGTGAAAACTGGCCCAAAAACTGTTTTTTTTCCTAAATTGTGTCCAAATATATAATTTTCATAGTATTTTGAGACGCTGAATAGGATGCCATTAGTAGAATTCAATATTTATTTGGGTGAAACCTGGCCCAAATATGGGGTCAAAACTGATATTTTCCTAAATTTTGTCCAAATATATCATTTTCGTGTATAGCGCCACAAAATATTCCGAAAATGATATATTTGGACACAATTTAGGAAAAAATTTGTTTTGATCCGTATTTGGGCCAATTTTCACTCAAATAGCCGATTTTCTGAGTAATATCGTGGTCATGCGTAAATTTAACTAATGACATCGTGCCCAACGCCTCAAAATACTACGAAAGTGATTATTTGGACAAAATTTAGAAAAAAAATCAATTTTGACCTATATTTGGGCCAGTTTTCACCCAAATAGTGAATATTCTGAGAAATATCGAGGTCATGGGTAAATCTTACTAATAGCATCGTATTCAAGTCGCCTGAAAGTACCACGAAAATGATATATTTGGACAAAATTAAGGACGTTTGGACATGATTTATGACATTTGGACAAAATTTAGGAAAAATTTAGGAAAATTTTGGAAAAATTTAGGAAAAAAATGTAGGAAAAAATCAGTCTTACTCTAAAATTTCACCGTGTCAGTTAATATGTTTCCGGCAGTGCACTCTCTGTTAAAATATTCGAATTTGTTCACTATCAACCACATTCGCGGGAATATCACGCACAATTTAGGTCATATAATAAAAATATCCAGTACGGCGGCAGTATTAGTCGATTCCTTTCATGCATTTTCGGTACTCTTCCTCGAGAAGAAATCTTAAAATATTTTATTACCATCTCCAACTTCATCGCAAATATTTATAATTTATTAAATTAATTCGAAGATAATAAACTTTGTCCATATTACTTTAAAATGAAAAATTGTAACGGTCACTTTGCGTGCCACCCTGTACAGAAATTTGTAATGTTTTGGTTTTAGGAACGAACGAAGTTGATAATATAAATAATCATCTGTAACGATACGATGGTATTTGTTTTCATGCTTTTGCCTGAACAAACGATAACAAAACCATCAGTTGACTATGCATTCTTTTCGTTTATCGGTTTATTACAGCCGTCGAATATTCGATTGCATTGCAATTTGATTTTGGTGGGGATCGAATGCATCTTGCGGTACATTTATTTTCTTCTAGACGACATATAGCGCGAGTGACTGATGTGTTGTAACTGATACACCATGGTTGATAACTGTGACATCATCGGTTGTGTTAAAAGTCTTGACGAAGTTATCAACGAGTCTGAACCAATGGATTCTGTTGGGACGCCATCAGATACAGTCGACAAGGATACGTCACATTACAGCGAGATATTTCTACGTGCCGATTGTTACATACAAGAACTTTTATGTGATCTAGTTGGCGATGAAGCGTTGATCAAAAACGAAAATGCTTCAGATTCCAGTGTGGAGGAGCTGCTGTTCGATCTGGTTGAAAAAGGAATATTGAAAAAGAAAAACAAGTCGGATTCTGTAAGCGACACTTGCACTGAGGAATTGTCGCTTGACCTTCTCGAGAAAGGTGTATTGATTATTGGTGACGGTGAGAGTGCTCCTTCAAGTGATCAGGTTGTGGAAAATTTCACAGTAAAAATCCCCGTGGTGAACGAAAGTTTTGAACCGGACGATATTCCGAATTATTTTCGTGTTAGCAACGGGGATATTCCATCTTCCATCATCAGCAGCTATCAGATCGCTGCGGATTCTTGCAATGAAGTAAGTGAAGATACCCCTAGCTTCTTCTGTGGATGTACTGGTACCACATGGGTAGCAATTTTGTCCATTGCAACCCCTCTGCTTGCTGGAATGGTA